CAAATATCGAAATTTAGATAATGTGAAGTATTTTCTCTTTGGTAAGTGTTGAAAATGTCTATCTTCATCAATATTTCTGAGAGACACAATGAAACACAATGGAAATATTTCTACTGTAGGTATTAATGTACGTAGAACGAAAACTATTTTTCTCTTTTCTTTTCTGTATATAAGACAGAACAAAATCATTGCGTAATCCTGTTTAAGTACATGACCGAAAGTCGAAGTTTTACTCACAACGACAAATTGATTTGTTTTGTGTTTTCTATTGATGCTCTACGTTAGAGTAAAAGTAGACAGAATGACCTTTTGTTTCAAAATTTCTTATTAAAAAGCCCTTTATCGAGCTGAAAAAAGCAGCAATAGTGGTCCTAAAGAAATCCCGTATGCTGCAAAAATGTGACTTTTCTTGACTCTGAAATTTGTTGGTAGAGCAGTTGGAAATAAGTATTTGTAAATCGAATATAGAACTGCTATGAATAACATGACTTTCAGTCTTGAATATACTTTATTCGAGCTTTCAGTTGGCATCATCAGGAATGTAATACATTGATATTGTAATACATGATGCCAACTGAAAGCTCGAATAAAGTATATTCAAGACTGAAAGTCATGTTATTCATAGCAGTTCTATATTTTCTTGACTCATTTGATATTCGTCCTCTATGTTGAAATTTATTTGACATTTCAATAACTTTGTGGCTACAAGGGCAATGAGCACAAAATTAGGTACTTTTCTCTCTACGGAAAAATTCTCACTTTCTTGCGTCTGATATATGGCTGTTTCGTTAATTTGAATGGTGAATGGCGTCCTCTATTTATTCGTAGATTCTGTACAGTCAATAATCTATTGGAATAAAGAGGGAAGAACTGTTGCGAGCAGATGATTAATGGTTCAACATATAAGACAGCTCCAGAATACATTCCTTAGATTCAATCAAGCATATTCTACGAGCTTTTGATAAAAGTTTTTCCTTATCAGCAGCAGGAATAACAAGAAAAAACGTACATCGTGTTTTTATTCTTGAAAATGAACTTTGTACAGTTCGAAACGTCGAAAAATCAACCTATTTACAATCATCATCTACTGCCACTAATACCAAACCAACAATCACTAACGAACCACCATAAGAACAAGTTGCTCACTTAAAACAAACCCTCAATAAACGATCACCGGACTCAACCAAATAGCATCCGAGTCGATCACAGCATAGGGGGAATCAGATTAACATCGTCCATGAAACATATTGGTACGAATGGAACATAAAAACTAGCTTCTTCAACAACTCTAGTCTAAAAGTCCAACACAGTCCCGTCTACTTTTATGCTAAACAGCGCTCTAAACTGTAGGAAACCCTTCATACTTCAACTGCGCATAAAGGAAAACCTTTTACAGCGCCATTATAACATATTTTTTGTGTTCCATGAATGATTATGTTACGAATGATTATATTATGATTAGTGTCATGCTATCTCTTCTGTAGAAAACAATCATAGCTTTTTGAATGTATCTTGCGTTTATCACATCTAAACACACTTTCATAAACATATAAGTTACTTTAATATTCGAGAAACACATCGACAGAGATGATGTTGGGAGTTACATCAATCACTCGAAAATACTCATGAAAATCGGAGTACTAGACTGAATCCAGCCATGTTAAAGTAACTTTCACATTTAAGCTCTCGCATACACATGAGAATAATATCTATCTTCAACGACACATAGATACTATAGTGTCGAACTGTTTTCGCTTCGTTTGATAAAGATTGGTGGTCATCAAACATTTAGGTGATTCTCTATTACTTATTGAAACTATTTGCGCGCTGCATCCTATATGTCGAAATTTAGTTGACATTTCAATAACCTTGCACCATCAAGGACAATGAGGACAAATCAAGTACTTTTCTCTCTCTATAGAAGAAGAGAAACAAAAAAGAGAAAATGAAAGAAAAGCAACTCTCACGTCGTATAAAGAAGAATACGTAACTGACGGAAAAAACCGTTGATGTAGATTAATTGGTATAGTTAGTTACACATGAAAACTAATATCTGAACTGAAAACGAAGACCTTCTCTCAATGACGAAGAGAAATGATGTTTAACTGTGCACTTAGTAACAGTTTCTAAAATAAATAGCTGTGGAGAATATAGTGTAATAAACACGATAAATCGTTTCTTGTAAAAAGGTTATTAAAAAGAGTGGTGTATTTCTCTAACAAAAACCAAAATAAAATATCTAATACTCATGAAAAGATACATAAGAATATACTTTCATGATTTTAACCTCCGTTTTTCATAGATTTTCCTGTAAAGATAAAAGGTATAAGGTGAAAAAGTAAAAGTGCATATTGTTGCATGTATATCCGAGTGATTTGCAACGGCATTGTACCGTTGCTGTTCTGCGTATAAAGACCGTTCTACTCAATGAATTTTCAAATTCTTTTAATATTGTTACTCTTCTTATATTTGTATATTAAGTTCTGAACGAAAGAGCTCTGTGTTACTCAAGGAAGCCGTTATATTCATCAAACAAGGTCTAAAACTAATGGTTTTTCAGCTGATTCGTCAGAAAAAGTTCGTTTTTTACAGTTAACAATGCATCAGAACAACTAAACAAGAGTTCATTACAACGCTTTGGCGCCAAATTCACATTTGTCGTTTGTGCTCAAGCCTACCTCTGTCACACGTGACCGGAATATTGTTATTAGGGCCTCTTTTCAATGATTATGCACGAAATTCCACTTTTTTGCATTATTTTTGAGAAAAAGAAGCGCTGAGGGTGCACGCTAAAAAAGGTAAGGAAAGTGAAGTAAGATTTTGACTATTGGTCGAAGTTACATAATCCACCACTGCATTTTGTTGATAAAGAAGGGAAGTGTTTGCAAAAATCTTTGCCATATTTCAAAAGTATATTCAATTAAAGATGTATGAAAGAATTATTTTGTCAGGATAATGCAAGGTCTGCGGCGACAAAGAGCGCCACTTATCGGTTGTGTTTAAAACAAAATTAATGTCAAGTCAAACCCAGATCAAAGAATCCCATAATAGGATCATACGGGATCTTGTAAGATCCTATCAGATCCTAAAATAAGATTTTGTCTGATCTTACGTGATCCTATGGAATCATATAGGAACATCGTCTGCCATCTTAAAGCAAGAAATGACGTAGGATTCCTATTATAGGATTCTATGACATACTACAGTAGGAACTTATAAGACAACTTGAACTTATAAGATGCGAGTTCCAAGGACTTACAGAATTTCGAAAATTTGAGCCTAAAATAATTTTTCATTTTCTACAGTACAGTAGAGTTGTAGTTATATTAGAGTTGCTGCAAAACACATCGGTGATTTGATTGTGTTTTCGTATAGAAAAAGAAAAGAAAATATATACAGAACAAAAAAATAGGAATAGGAACCGTCCTATATCAAGAATTCTATGGAATTCTGCTATAGGATTTTATAGGATCCTACAATAGGAATCCTATGAAATTCTATTATCAGTAGGATCTTGTAAGAATCTAGTAGGATTGCTTGACCTCGGAAGAATAACAAAGGTTGTTTATGCTATATGTATTTAAAGAGCAGAAAAAATATCACCGGATTTATTTCTGATGAGTTCACAGTTTCAAAAAGAGAAGAAAAGAGAGAAATAAACAATAAAAAAAAGTTTTTTTGTAGTTCAGTATCGTTTAAAGCTGCTGTTGTAGAGGGTTCACTGCATCTCTTAAAACTTGACGCTAAGATTAATAGAAAAACGGAAAATGGAAGTAGCCGATCCAAAGATTAAATATTACTTTAACTGGCAACGACGAACTTGTATCGTCAAGATCGAGTGAACACATTAATGATCGTTTACCCTAAAAACATGTCTTTATACCTGACTGACAACGAGATAGAATCAGACATACTTTTCTGGTATTTTGTTGGTGTCGTTGTCGCTACGCTTTCCTTAAAAAGGCCAAAAAATAGAAAAAGTGGTACACTTCGAACACTCATATATTACATTCTCTTTGTCCAAAATCGTAGGCTTCTGACGACCAGTTATTTTAACACCGACATCGGCTTTCGCTCCCTTTCGTAGAACAGAACAGTTCGGCTTCGGTACTGTTTGTTCAACTCGAATGTGCATTTTCCGCTTTACAGCAATGATGTGTACACAATCGTTCGATTTCTTCGTTAAACGAGAAAAACCGCAAGTACACTGGAAAATACCATGCTCCATCGATTGAACCATCCTTTTGCGTGACAACAAACGCACCTAAGCATAAAGAAAATTCTCTATACAATGTCAAATACTCTAAAGCAATCCCACCGAAATTTGTAAACTCTACTTGACTAATATCATCAAACATCATTTGAGCCAGTTGGATGGATGTTAGCGGCTTTTGACGACTTGACGGACGTTCATGTTCATCATCGGACACCTCAATATGTCTAATTCTATCAACAATTTCTTGAGGATCATAGCTTTCAAGAGGAATTAATCTCGATATATCCATTTTCAACTTTCCAAATTCAAGTTTCAATTTGTAATTACCTGAAAACTAAGCAAACTTAGAACATACAACCTGCCCATCAAAACATGCTGAACTCACCAACACTGCAATACCCTCGTTGTACTTCATTTATGTAAAGCCCCTGCAGATAATTGAGAACCAAAATAAGTCTGTCCAGTGATATTCTTTTCCATCCCGTCAATTGTTTGAACACGAAATTTACACCATCATCGAAAACGATGATTAATTCTCTAGTCACTCGTTCTCTTTTTCCCTAGGTGGAGTCGACTTTGACTCACTCGGTGGAGTCGACCTCGAGCAAGGAAACGAGAATTGATTGTATAGTCAGTCGTTCCCCTTTTCCCTAGGTGGAGTCGACCTCGCCAGACTCGGCGGAGTCGACTTCGGGCAAGAAAATGAGTCGAAAATTGAGTAACTTTTCCAAGATATGTGTTTGAAAGAGCTGTACGGTTTAGCCTACTTTCATTAATTCAGTAGATGATAGCCCTGCGGTAATTTCCTTTGGTATCACAAGTAAGTTTCGTAGCAAGTCGCTCCCCTTTTCCCTAGGTGGAGTCGACTTCGACCAAGAGAATGATGACTGATTCTGTAGTCATTCGTTCCCTTTTTCGGCGGGTTCGAGTTCGAGGAAAAAACCAAGGATTGGTGCTGAAATTGTAGGCAGAGGAAGAAAAGTGTTAGAGTATAGATATTAAAATATAGATATTTTCATTTGGTTCCTGTGCATCTCTTTATTGTTGGCTAAATCATATTCATTGTTTGAGAAAATAAAACCGATTCTAATAATTTATCATTTATTTACCAAGTGTATAATCATTAACTGCTAGGTAGGTATATTTTAGTACAGAAAAGTCTACAGAAAATTTTAAATAATTTCGGTTCATCATAGATAAGCAAAGTTGCTTGGATGCAAAGTTAATGATTTCTTGTGTTCTTCAAGAATTGGTTCGAGATGGTGTGAAGAGACTAGAATTCTCGTGATACTTCTCGAAATTCCTGTAGGAAAGTGAAATTTGGCAGAAAGTATTTCAATTTAGTGGGGAAAACGAAGTAATTATCATTCTGTCTCTGTACGTTCATAATTTTCGAAAAAAGTTTCTTGCCTATGGAATTGTCCGAGCGGATGAGTTGCAGACAAAAAAGCTCATCTCTGCACGTATTATGTTTAGAAGAAGTTTGTCCGCAAAAATGGAACCACGCAGGCACTTGAGCATTAGTGAGAACTATTGGATTTGCGCTTGCCAAGTGAAATAACAAAAGTAGAGTAAAATAATAATTAAAAATAATTATTAACTGTTCATTTTCATTTTTCCCAAGGATACATTCTCTCATTCTATTTTTTTCTTTCCAGTTGTCGCCCTTTTTATAGGGTTTTTACCCGGCAGAGACAACTTTCAAAATAAATTTCGCTCAGTGCACGCTTGCGGATGTCAGCAAATCCCACTTTTCTGGAAAAAGTTTATCATCAGTAAAGCTGAAGTTTCCATTTTTGCTACGTTATTTTTTGTATTATTTTTTTAATAATCAAAGTTATGTAGCACAGCACTAAAACTTTCGCTGTAAGAGATCTTTGTCTCGTTTTCTCATCCTTTCTGCACTGATTTAAGCTCTTTTTTTATTTTACTCAGCTTTCACACATCGAAATGCGCAAAAGGTTGTTAGCTGCGTAAAAGAAGCAGGCTAGCTAGAAGTTTTCTCTGCGGCTAACCTCGGCGTAAAATCCATGGTGAAGTTTGCGTCTGCCGTTTGGTAGGAAGGTTCTCTCGGCTCTGTTGCGCGAACCGAGGATAGAGGGGCGCCTCCTTCGTGAGGACCTTAATAAGCTCACCTCATGCACAGAGTGTCCCACTGGGATAACGAGAAGAAATTAGCGTCATTTCTACGGAAGCCAGATGGTAGTCCAAGCGTGGATTGCGATGATCCACACACTTCACACCTTGCCTTAATGGAAAAAGAGTCGCATCGAAGAGCGGAACTAGTCCTGCTTTACCTTTAATGACACAACTGAGTACCGTTTTGATGTCGAACCGAAAGCTGGTGCAATAAACATTGAGCTAAAATTTATAAAAGAATTTTTAAAACTTACTTGCTAGTGCTGCATAACTTAATTTCTAAAAAACTTGGAAAATGAGCGTGATAGCTTGAGAAAAAGGCACCTTTCGAGCTTCTTAAGCCGACCGAGGAAGAGAATGTGAAATGACTAGAGCCGGTTTATTGGTTTTCATATGAAAGTCGCAGATTGTTTGTGCTTCTCCAACACCCCAATGATTTTCTGATTAATATTCTGAACTCAAATTAGCAGAAATTGAGAAAAACGACATTTTGCAGAGTGCAGAGTTCTAATTTGAAATCAGTTTTTTTTTAGTTTTTGGGTAAATCGGGTGTAAAGTAGGGCGGCCAAAATTTGAGACTTCAAAATTTTTAATAGCTGAAATACTAAAGCGTGCTCATCGGTTAGGAGCAAACACTAGCTCGCAGCCATTTGCCATAGAACGAATATTCATCTAAACAGAAGACAACTTGCGGTTAAACCTCTTCACAGAAATAGAAGAACACCCCATGTATAAGAATAGTCTGGCGGATTTGATGTGTCGGACACGGATAATGACATATTCGTCTACTTTGTCCTTTGGAGAAATAAAAACCGAAAGTCGTTCTTTCTTTGTCTTATTTCTATCTCATATACAATCAATTTTTTTTCTTCGGAGATGGACGTCATCGGTGTTTACAGCTTTAAACCTTAATTTTTAGTAAGTGTATGAAATATGCTGATGAATCACAGACGTTTAGTACAACAAAGAATGACAATCAAGAAGAAGACGAACGACGTCAACAAGACGACGATGACGAGAACGAAGATGAGCAATCGATTTCTCTAGATCAACATCAGATACCCTACCGCCCTACATTTTCCAAGTTTTTTAGAAATTAAGTTATGCAGCACTAGCAAGTAAGTTTTAAAAATTTTTTTATAAATTTTTTTTCGTCCATCTCCGAAGAAAAAAATTGATTGTATATGAGATAGAAATAAGACAAAGAAAGAACGACTTTCGGTTTTTATTTCTCCAAAGGATAAAGTAGACGAATATGTCATTATCCCGAATTCTTCATGATTTAAAGCGATTTTTGCTGAGTTTTCTAGGTTTTCTGAGTTACTATAATAGTCTTCTGTTGCTTGGTTTCAGAACAGAAATCCTATCAAATGGCAATTCTAGAGCACAAAAGCAAGGAAAAAAGAAAATATAGTTGAACTATAGAGATCAAATGTACCGCTTTCGGTCTTCTCCTCTACTGATCTTAAAAAAAGCGAGTTTTCGAGATAAGCAATCTATAGAAAAGAACAAAGTTTCTATTTTAATCTATATATCCATTTATTATCTATCCAAAAGAAACAGTGTTCGTCCGATATTCTGCCAACTATTCAGATTAAAATTACATTAACTACCCTAGAGATCAAATCTTATATAAGATTCCTATAGGAATCTTACAGAATATCTGCAAGAATCTTATAAGAATCTTATAAGGCAGTCGATGGAAATGCGTAATTTATGTA